TTTTTTTTTTGATTTTCACTAATTTTTTTTTATTAAATTTTTTCAATTTTTTTCTTTCCTTCATTTTCTTCTTTTAAGATCAGGAAGTCTTGGATAGGTTTCAGCGTGTGGTTGCAGTGCCACAGTAAGTTCCAAATATTTTTTGAAAAGTTTTTCTTTTTTTTTTTATTAATTTGCCAATAATTTTTTTTCTTTTCATCTCCTGAGATCGGGAACTCATAGGTCAGATGGAATTATACAATGGTAAGTGTCAATTCTCATTTCTTTTTCGTTTCAAAATAAATTTTTATTATTATTATTTATTAATATCTTTTTACCTTAGATTCAGAAGTTTCAGCGTAATGCAACAGTAAGAATTAATTTCTTTTTTTCACTCTTTTTTCCTGTTTCATTCATTCATTCTTTTTGTTTATATTTACTAATATTTTTCCTTTATTATTTTTCTAATTTAGATTCGGGAGAGGAGGGCTTGGATCAGATTGTGCACCTACTGCTGCGGTACTATAGTAAGTGCTGGGTTCTTTTTTTTTCATTGTGAATTTTTCCTTTATTTGATTATTTTAATTAATACTTTTTATTAACTTTCTTTCTTTAGTTTTCTTCTTTTAGGTTCAAGAAGAGCTAGATTGGATTCTGTATGATGTTGTGGCATTATGTAAGTGCTATATATCTCTTTTTTTCATTTTTTATTCCTTTTTTATACTCCTTTCTTTTTAAGTCTTTAGATTCAGATTGGATGAGACGTACTTATTGGATGTGATACTACTGTACACTGTAAGCACTAAATCTTTTTTCATTTTGAAACTTTTTCCCTTATTTTTTTATTCATTTTTTTAATTTTTTTTTTAATTTTTTTTTCTGTCTTTTAGGTGGGAAGTTTTAGATCAGGTTTAGCGCAATGCTGCAGTGCAAATGGACCGATAGCTCCCTCATCAGCTTTAAAAAATTTATTATCAACATTTCTTAAAAATTTACAAAGATGATTAGCAAAAATTATTTTTGCTCAAAAACTCCCACGTTCTGTTAAGATTTATCCAGAAAAGAAGAAATTACACACGAATGCTAACTTCAAAGAATATTGTCTAGTGGATACCTCAAGACCCTTTTCCTTCTTATGATACCTATCACCAAATCTGACCCGTATTATTCAAGCACGTCAGAAAATACCCTAACAAATGATCTTCAAAAATTGACACATGATTCATTAGTGCAAAAATCATCTGACCACCTGTTTTGTTAAATATTTAATTTTACTTTAGTTTTATGCAGAGTTGCAGACCTTCGTTCAATCTTTAATCTCAATACAATATATAAGCAGGATAGACTTATAGTATTTAGTGAAGTAGATCTCCAGATCTGAAATAACAATGTTAAAATTTCTTTTGTATTTGTGTTAATTTTGTGGTTTTCATGTGGAATCTCACAAATTTATTAAATCTGCCTAGAAATTGTTTTACAATAAAGTATACCTTTATCTACAATTTATATTATTGTGTTGTGTTTAAAAATAAATAAATAAGATGTCATAAAAAAATGAAAAAAATGATCATCCCTATGATGACCAATCTTTTTATTTTTTTTTTTAAGTCTAGCTACATATGAAAACTTAAATCAGAATTTTGTAGTGGCAAATAGCAATAGCGAACAATTAATAATAACAATTTATAATACTAATATTGTAAATAACAAGCAATTATTGATAATGATAAATTCCATAATAAATTTTTATTTGAATAATTAAACGAACAGATAATTCGAAAAAAATAATTATTTTTTCTAAAAATTTAAAAAATAATAATGATCAAGTTAATTTATTTTATTTAGATGATTTAATGTAATAAATTATACAACATCAGATCCAAACTCTACTCCAAACCAGTTTTTGAACTTGATCTGACTCGTAGAACCAAGGTAAAGTCGTTCCCATCCCTATTACATGTGACAATTGGGACATACGTTGATAATTTAATTTTACTACCATTGTGATTTGTAAATTATAAAATTATAATAATTTTACTAATATAGAACTGCGCAGCTACTGATTTTATTTATTTTATTTATTAGGTTAACTTTGCTCTGAGCTAATACAAAAAAATATTTAAGTACATTCTGCCTATTGTACGTGGTTTATACCTGAATGTTACCTCTTATTCATCTACCCTATCCTTCAAACCAATAATGGCTTTTGTCTCGTGGTCTTGTGTGAATCAGTTCATCCCTTCCATTGTATTTTAATAAAATTCCAATCCATAGCAAATCTTTTTTTTTTAAAAAAATCTGTACATATTCCGGACATTTTCTGTATAGAAAAACAGCAATTTTTTTTTTAAAAAAAATTCTATACAAATTCTGGACATTTTCCGTATTAGAAAATTAATAATTTTTTTTTTTAAAAAAAAATTCTGTACATATTCCGGACAATTAATAATTTTATGTACATATTCTGGACATTTAAAAACTTGTGAATGGATGATGTGATTATTTTTTAGGACGAAAAATGGTCATTTTCTGGACACATTCAAATATACCAGGACATTTTCTGGACATTTTTGTAGATGCTTTCCGGACAATCCTTTTTTATAGGGTAGTCACTTGGAGAATTTGTTTTTATCGACCAGTGTGGGGATTTTTATCAACCAGGGGCTGGCAGTTTCGGTCTGATAATCTGCGGGGTATGGGCTTCAACTTACTAAAGCTTAGTTTATTTAGGTGAGAGTATGGGAGGCAGTGGGCAGTGGCGTTATCTGGATTTTTGTGTCATAGGGTCTAATTTTAGTATCTTCACATTGTACCTTCTTTCTGTTAATTGGTTAATTGCCCACCGGTTTGAGTAGATTATTTTTGCGTGTAGTTTAGTTAGTATTTTTGTCAATTTTGACTTATATGTAATTTTCTACTTATAATCATGTCCATGTTAGGTTTCTAACTGGAGCCCATTAATAAAAATAAAAATAAAAATAAAAAATAAAAATAAAATACAAAATATGTACCCACTAACTATTACTGTTAAATAAAAATAAAAATAAAAATAAAATACAAAATATAACTTCACATAAATATTTCAAATGTTAAAAAATTTCCCATAAAATTTAGATATTTTCACACATAATAAAATAAAATTTCCCAACTATTTCAATAAACAAAACTTATATAAGGGTTATTAAAAAAATATTTGTATTATTTTTTTATCTATAAACAAAAATACCAACTTAACTTTCCATAATTTTATATATTTTAAATTATAAAGAATCTACTGCAATAAATTTCTTTATTGGTTCTGCAACTGTATAACAAGATTAAATGAAAATGATTTGATACAAACATTTAACATGACTATTTTTTATCCAATTGATCCTTCTACACTAAGTTCCCAAAATTGGGAAATATCAATTAAATTAATGTAAAATTTTTTTTTATTTTTTTAATCTATTTTTTTATTTTTCACTTTTTATTTTATTTATTACATTTTTATTTTATTTTCTTTTATTTTCACTTTTAATTTTACTATCATTATATTATATTTTAATTAAACAAATAACAATTACACATTAAATTATTGCCCTATAAAAAAAGAAAATTCGGAATTTGTCCTGAAAAGTATGGAAAATGTCCGGAAATTTTCCGTGCGTCCGGAAAACATTCGGAAACGGTCACGTTTTGGAACATTTTCCGGACGCACAAATTCCAGACATTTTCTTGACACTCCAGAATTTGTCCAGAATCGAGCGTCCGGAAAATGTTCCAAAACATGACCGTTTCCGAATGTTTTCCGGACGCATGGAAAATTTCCGGACATTTTCCATACTTTTCAGGACAAATTCCGAATTTTCTTTTTTTATAGGGTTGACATTACTGACAAGGTTGTCCAGGGATGGAGTCCCTGGTATTAGACACATTTCTAGTTATATTTAATAATTGGAAAGCTAAAAAAAAAGATTTATTTAAATTACAAACTAAGAAATTTGTAAAATTTTACTACTCTAGCCTTAGTGTTTAAATAATTCAAAAAAAAGAAAATACATATATGAATAAGATATAAAAAAAGGAATTATTTAAATTACAAACTAAGAATATTGTAAAATATTTTACTAGTACTCTAGCTTTAGTGTTTAAATAAATCTAAACAATAATTTCTGTTAAATGCATGACATCAAATATCACTTATAAAAAAACTATAAATTCTTATAAACACCAATATTTACTAGTTATTTTTTATCAGTTTTAATATCTAAATAATTAAATAAATAAAATTAATTTTACATAAATAATTGCAAAATTAATTCTTTTTATATACTAATCTTTACTTACTGGTAGCATTTTATTCACTTTTTACACTAGCTTGTAAATCTTCACTTTCAAGAATTTCATTCACTTTTTCACTAATAGATCGACTTGAATAATAAACTTGCAAATCTCTACTTTTGAGAATTTCATTTAACTGTTTACTAGTAAAACTAAGTAAGCGACTTGTATAATATGCCTGTGGGTGAGATTCAGTAGCAAGATTATTGTTATGCCCAATTGGTGCATTTATAAATTCCATAATATTGCATTTTAATTCTTCATTAATATCTTCAATTTTGACATTATCAGAAAGAGAAATCCATTTTTTAATAATATTTAACACTTTTTTAGAAGATGGCCTTTTTGATGGGTTTTCATTCCAACATTTTTTCATCAAATCTACATAACATTGTGGAGTATCTTCAATAATTTCAGGACGTTCACCTTCACAAATACTTAAACTAAGTTGTAAATCATGTGCTCTATTATTAAATGGAGGTGTCCCAGATGTAAATTCCCACATAATCATAGAAAGACTATATATATCACTAGCTGGAGTATAAGGTTTGCCTCTTAAAACTTCTGGTGCCATAAATGGTATAACACCATAAATCTTATATTCTTTCAAAAATGATTTTACAGGTTTACATAATCCTAAATCACTAATATAAATTTTTTTTTCACTATGTCTTAAAATATTGCCATCATGAAAGTCACAATGGATAAGATTTTGTTCATGTATATCATTAAGTCCAGAAATAATTCCAAATAACATATATAATTTTTGATACCAACCACTTTTGATTATTCTTGTTAAGTTTCTTCTTAAATTACCTTTATTTGCATAATCCATTACTACCATATATTTTAAAGTATCTGGATCTTTTGTAAACCCATAAAAATAAATAATATCATGTGAATTTAAACAACTTTCATGATATTCCCACTATAAAAAAGTGATAATATATTAGTATAAATAAATTATAATTCAAATTAAAAAATAAATAATATATTATCATACTTCATTTAAAAATTCATTTAAATTTTCATTTAAATTATTATGACACTTAAGAATTACTTCTTTATGATTATAATACCAAATAGCTTTGTATATAGTACCAAATCCTCCTTTATCAAGATATTTAACATCTTTAAATTCATCGTAGGGAATCCATTTTAACTTTTTTTCTAAAATAAAATTATCTATAATTGTATTTCCACTTTTTCCATATCTATATATATATATTAAACAATTAAAATAATTATTAAAGTTATATTAAAAATTACACTAAATTTAAGATTAAAATCAACACTACTTACTCTAAAATTTAAATAGAAATTAATTATAATATATGTTTAGTTTTGCATATAAATATATATGATAATAGCCTATATTTCACAACTTACCAACTAAAGTAACAGAAATTTTATATGAATAGAATTCAATTAACAAATAAATATTTATAAATATATAATAATAAAAACAACAAATAACTTACAAGCTATATTATTAAATAATTTTTATAAATAAAAAATTTAGTTAGCCCAAATTATATCAATATGTAAATATTATAACAATAAGTAATATTAGAATTAAATAAATAACTTAGAACTTACAATCTATTTAAATAAAAAATTTAGTTAGTTTAAATTATATGTAAATACAGTGACACCTCTATAAGTGCACCCTCTATAAGTGCATGTACTATACAAATTCTCTTTAAGTGCAGTGGGACTGGTACCAACTTATTAGAGCTCTTAATATTTTACTTTCTATAAATGCACACTGCACATTCTACTATTTTTTATTATAATACCAAAGGGAGTGCACTTAGAAAGGTGTCACTGTATTATAAAAATAAGTAATAATAGAATTAAATAAATAACTTATAACTTACAATCTATTTAAATAAAGAATTTAGTCGGTCAAAATTATATATAAATATTGCAACAATAAGTAATAATAGAATTAAATAAATAACTTATAACTTACAATCTATTTAAATAAAGAATTTAGTCAGTCAAAATATATATAAATATTACAACAAGAATTAAATAAATAACTTATAACTTACAATCTATTTAAATAAAGAATTTTAGTTAGTTTAAATTATATGTAAATGCTATAACAATAAGTAATAATAGAATTAAATAAATAACATAACTTACCATCTATTTAATTAAAGAATTTAGTTAGTTTAAATTATATATAAATATTAAAAATTAGTTAAAATTATGTACAAATATTATTGTTAGTTTAAATTATATGTAAATATTATCTGTTATAGTTAGTTTAAATATTATAACAATAAATAATAATATAATAAAATAAATAACTTACTCCCTATATAATTAAATATTTTTAAATAAAGGATTTAGTTAGTTTAAATTATATGTAAACATTATAACAATAAGTGATAATAGAATTATATAATAACTTATAACTTACGATCTATTTAAATAAAGAATTTAGTTAGTTTAAATTATATGTAAATATTAT